AAGAGCCCTGGATTTTATAGCTGAAAAATATATGTTTATTTGCTCATCAATTTTCCTCTTTCTCCCTTGCCTTTTCTTGGCATCGGGTGGAATGTTATTTAAAACAAGACACAGTTCAGCTTCAAAAAGAAAAATCATTCTGCAAAATACAGCTTGGACTCATTTAATGGTGATTTATCATCCCTAAAAGAGTGGGGTACAAATATCTATATTTGGTGTATTTTAATGATTTACAGTGTCGTGATTCGTGTTGGTACCAGGACGCAGGGAAGCAGTAGGCTCTTTTAAACTTTGAGAAGTGCCCGATAATCATTTATCGGCATGGCTCTCCTTCAAGGTGACACAGGCTGGTTCTTGGAGGGTGGACTCAACCCCAAGGCCTGCGGGTCTCTTAGGGGTGCTTTAGAGTCTTCATTTCCTTGCTGAAGTGTGTTTTCTCTCCAGAGCTTTGAAAAAGTTTTGTTTTCTGCATCTCCCATTTCCATCAGGTAGTGGGCAAATGATGATGTGCCTAAGACAGTGCCTGGCACATAGGAGAGGCTTCATAAATATTTGTTGAGGGAATAAATGGTTAAATGGAACATTGTAAGCCTTACTAGTATTATTGCCTTGGCGTGAAACGTGCAAGAATAGCCTTGAGGCAATCAAGCAATTTTCCTTAACAGGACAAGCTAATTATTGGAGAGATGAAGATCTGGTGCATAGTATTTATTTGTCAGGCTCCATTTGCTCCTAATTAAAGGTGGAAGAGTTGTTTGTAGCATTGAAGGGATAACACAGTGACCCACTACTAAACAGCGCTTCAATTTTCCATACTACTTTTTCGGGGAAAACATATCAAGAGAGAGTTGATGCACCCTCCTTTTGTTTATGTTTTATTTTTTGTTCTGTTTCACTTTTGGGAGGACAGGCAGGGTGTGGAATGGGCAGCTATTTTGACAGTACTTCCACAGTCCATCTGCCTACATGACTTCTGCAGTCTTTTTTTGCTGACTTTGGTTGACTGATGAAATCTTCTTCCCATACAGATAGCACCAGCAGTGACTCAGGATGAAAACGCTACATCCTCTTTTGCCTCAGAAAGTTTCTTTTATTCATTCATTCATTCATTCATTCATCCATCTGTACATTCATTCCAAAAATACCAATTTAGTGCTTAATATGTACCAGGCTCCGTGCTAAGGCTATAGATTTAACACTGAGCAAAATCCAGCGTGGTTCTTGTGCTCATGAAACTTACAGTCTGGGGTGGTGGATGGATATGAATTGAATAATCATACTAAAAATCAAAGCTACAAACTGAATTCTAAAATGAGGAATCTGGTCTACTGGTACCATGTAATGACAGGAATTGATTTTGACCAGGAGACCAGGGGAAATTTTGCTAAGGAGAAGCCAGGAGCTAAGAAAGGGAAAGAGCATTTCAGGTAAGAGGACCATCACATGCAAAGGCCTTTGTGGCCTGTGTTGGAAGAGCAAGAGCTGATGGGAAGGCATGGCCCCACTCAGTGTCAATGCATACCCTGTATCATCCTGTGAACATTAGAAAGACAAAAGGATCGTAACCTTTAATGTTAGGAAGTGGGGCAGAAAGGACACATGTACTTTTTCACATCTGTGTTTCTGGGGGACAGGGCAGGGGAAAGACAAGTATCCATTCTTCACAAATGTAACAAGGGAGGTGATCGTGCTAATTCCATGATCCTTTGCTGCACTGGAGCTTCCTAGAAATTCTCACCATTCACCCTTCCATCTGCCAAGTTTCAGAAAGAGTATATCCCAGATCTGCAGTAGTGTGCTGAGTAACCATACACTGGGCCATGCAGCAATGGTACTTTGTCTCGTCATTTTATGGCAGGCCTATCTCTTCTTTCTGCCTTTCTTTTGTTGATAAGGAGGTGGCATAACATAGTTGATAACTATGTTTTTGGCATGTGTGCATGGTATGCCTTCTGGCACCTTCTTTCTTGGTTTAGAGAACAGGCTCTGGAGGTAGCATACCTCTATACCTCTGCAGTGGCGTGAGCTTGGGCAAGTGGCTTGGCCTCTCTGTTAGCCTTGCAGAACTGTTCTGAGGATTAGGTGAGCTTGTAAAACATCGAATGGGGAGTGGCATGAAATGGGTGCTCAATTAATGCCAGCCATAGTTATTAGCTATTTTTAATGATATAGAAAGGTGTCGGGGTGCCTGGGTGGCTCAGTCAGTTGAGCATCCAACTTCAGTTCAGGTCATGATCTCACGGTTCGTGGGTTCAAGCACTGCCTCAGGCTCTGTGCTGACAGCTCAGAGCCTGGAGCCTGTTTCAGATTCTGTGTCTCCCTCTCTCTCTGAACCTCCTCTGCTCACGCTGTCTGTCTCAGAAATAAATGAAACATTAAAAAAAAGAAAAGAAAGAAAGGTGTCGAAGATATACTGTTAAAGAGAACAAAAGCAAGTTACTTGGGGCTGGGGCTTAGAGGGGAATGAGTAGGCAGGTGTCTTTTACTTTTTCACCTCATATTCTTATAGCAGTTGATTTTCTTTTTTACAACATGGCTATATGTTTTTATAATAATGAAACTACAAAGAATAGTTGAGAAAGTTTATCAAGACTACCCAATATGTAGCAAAAATACAAAACAAACAAAAAGCTGTGGTTTCAATATAGTCTTTTTCATAATTTTCTTCACACTTAAGTTTGGAGATGTCATATAGAAACTTTTCTTGGGATAAAGAAACATGTATCTGAAGTCCAGAAATTCATTTTATTTTTTACTTCTTTTTTAAAAAGAGTTTTTTTAATGTTTATTTACTTTTGAGAGAGACAGAGGGTGAATGGGGGAGGGGCAGAGAGAGAGGGAGACACAGAATCCAAAAATCTGAAGCAGGCAGGCTCCAGGCTCTGAGCTGGCAGCATAGAGCCCAATGCAGGGCTCGAACTCATAAACTGTGAGATCATACCCTGAGTCGAAGTCGGACACTTAACCGACTGAGCCACCCAGGTGGCCCTCACTTCTTACACTAATGTTACACTATTTAGTCTACTTGTTCCTCTGTCTCCACATATGCAAACAGAGAGTTGTCTGGAATGACATTCACCCGCCAGATATAAAGAATGCATTTGGCTCATTGGTTACTGACTTCATTGTACTTTCAAGCATCACTTAAATGTTTTATAATGAGCATTGTTATTAAAATAATGAAATCATTTCTAAAAATTGGAGACGAGGAGTATTAGTTCACTTTTCTGTTTAGTAATAAATACAATGCCCAGCATCTAATCTTTCCCAGAGAGTCAGGAAGCTTAACTTCTTCAGGATTAATATGATGGAGGTCAGTAGCTGGTACTCTTGAAAGAGGAAGCAGGTATGCTTAGTGGTTACTGAGTCTGGATGTAGGAAATGTTTTCAATGATTATCTAATATTAAGATTTAAGTCCATCACATACTGCCCCCCCCCTTGTATTTTTCTTTTACAAGTGGAGGCTCTTTGGGTTTACCTAAAGATTTTAATGAATTCAATTGGCATTTATCAATAGCTTACTCTAACCAGTTGAGAATCATTAATATTATACAGGGCTGGAGCATGGTTAGTTTGACCCTCGTTTAAATATAACTCTTCCTTTTCACAGTGACTGCACACCATCATCATTAATCTGATAAAATCACAAATCAGGGGAGAACTTCAGTCCCCTAGCAAATACTTCATGAAGCCAGTGTGAGCTTGTCAACCAGACTGTCCTCCCTACAAAAGATACATCTCTAAGGAATCACTATATTATACAGTGCTTAGCACATTGTACCCCTCAGGATATGATGATCAGTGCCTGTGTACAAGAAAAGGCAATTTTGAAGAAACTGTGACTAAGCTGATTACCAACGAACTGATTCTTTAAATCAGGGCGGGCAAACGATGGCCCTTGGGCCAAATCTGGCCCAGTGCCTAATTGTGCATGCACATGAGCTAAAAATGGCTTTTACATTTTTGAATGTTGAAAAATCAAAAGTTGAGTAGCATGTGAAAATTATATGGAATTCAACTTCCTGTCCCTAAATAAAGCTGTAGTAGGACACAGCATGCTCATTCATTTACATACCATCTATCGCTGCTTTTGCACTAAATGGGCAAAATTGAGTAGTTGCGACCAAGACCGTAAGGCATGCAGTGGTGAATATGTTTACTGTCTGACTCTTTATAGAAGCAGTTTGCTGACCCCTGGTTTAGATTCAGGTAGAAGTTATTTGTGTACATGACTGTTTGCTTGTGAATGGACAATGCTTTGGGGTTAGAAATATGACTGCTGATGTTGCCATCAAAGAAACTATAGAATGCAAAACTCCAAATGTTTCCACTTTACTCCCTTCTTTCCCAAAGACCAGAAGAAAGTTATTGTGTGTGAAACATTAGATGATCGGGAGGGACTATGAGAAATATCCTGGTAACAAATGGAGAAGATCTACATATTGCTTTTAAGAGTTATATCATGAATTTCATTGGGAGCCCTAAAATAATGTCTGTACCATTCCTGTATTCTGAAATTTGAAGCCTTTGCCTCTTTGTACTTGAGAAGTCTTTTGAGAGGAAGAAATCTTTTATTCTTGTGACCCTTATGAAACACAGCACCATATCAGATGAGCCCTTTGTTCGGTGCCATTGTTGTATTGATTGGTTTTATTTGGTTTATACTTCCATTCAGCTGCTAATAGGATATGATGAATAATCGATAGCCAGGAATTAATAAGAAATGACTTTGAGTAGATGGTCTAAATCTTGACAGGATATTCTGCTCATTTGCTGTGACTGTTGAATTAACATATACAGCTGACATTGACCCTCCTACCTACTATAATATATGTGAAAATTTGAAATTGATATAAGCCATACTGCCAGCAAATAAAAAATTGTTAATAATAGTACCATGACCTATTCTAGAATTGAAAATATGAGTCATTTTGATTCAAAATTCCTATTCTGGTACATGACTGACCTCAGCTGTCCCTCTTGTTTCGTTCTGTTTCAGAGGTTGAAGGCTGCCTTGACTCACCACCCTGCCGCCATGTCAAATGGGAATATGAACACCATGGGACACATGATGGAAATGATGGGCTCCCGGCAGGACCAGACGCCACACCATCACATGCACTCGCATCCGCATCAGCACCAGACACTGCCAGCCCATCACCCCTACCCGCACCAGCACCAGCACCCAGCACACCATCCTCACCCTCAACCCCATCACCAGCAGAACCACCCACATCATCACTCCCACCTTCACGCACACCCCACACATCACCAGAGCTCGCCACACCCACCCCTGCACTCCGGCAACCAAGCACAGGTAGACCCTTTCCATGATCTCTTTCCCCATTGTTGTTATCCGTGCAAGCTCTAACGCAGGGGCTCGTTGGCAGCAACCTTGTTTGACGAATCTGGTGTTCTGCCTGACACTCTGGGGAGCTCTGTTCATTTCTTAGGAGGTAATGATAACCTGCAAGACCTCCCAGACCATAGTTTCCAGAAATGATATGGTAAATATTAGGCCTCGTCGCCGGGGGCAAATGTAAACTTCATGTTACAAAGTTAAACTCTAAAAGAAGTGATACTGATGGGAGGATTAGGAAGAATTTCAGCAGGTAAAGAAAGATTTGAATACAGAATGAAAAAAGTAAGTTAGTTCCAGCCGTGGCTTTAGCTGCAGTTCTTTAGGACATTAGACTCTCAGTTTCGTCACCTGTAAAATGAAAGTTAAATACCATGGACAGTCTTCTGAAAAACACCAAATGCTAAAAATCTAAAGAATAACAATTCCAGACAGACAAAGAAGCTCGATAATGGATGTTAGGGTGTAAGGTGCTGTGTAAATGATGAACAGAGGTGACTCATCCCACCTAATGTGAAATGCGTTGGAGGGAGTAGTCAGAGAGAGCCAAGCTCAGTAGATGATTGGTTCTAGAGAAAGGCCAAATCCCAGGGGTGGAGAGTCACCAGAAGTGGCTAGAAAGAAAGCCAGCATTTAGACTCAACTGAAAGAGGGTTGGGGGGACCAGGCAGACATTATGTCACCCCAGCCCAAGAAGAGAGGCGGGTCCGTGTACCCGAGTAAGTTTTGTTAAGTGGACGAAGGGTACATCTAGGAGAATTGCTAGTCCTAGACACTCTGGATCTTCAAGCAGGATGACGTTTGTCAGTCCCCTCCACCCATCCTACACTGCCAGGTTCTAACCAGCTGGGTCAAAGTGGTGTTGGGAACTTGGGATCGCCGATTAACATTCATTCACCGTCTCCTCCATCGTCTGCCTCTGGATCTCACGCTAGGCAGTTTTTGAGCTCTTGAACCCATTCCTCTAACACACACCAAACTTGGACAGCCATCCGCAAAATGGGTCATTCACAAGCAACTCTCTGATCTATTCAATAGATGAGCTTATTCGTTAGGTAAGCTTACATTTGCAAAGGTAGTTAGAGGAATTCTATATAGCAAGTCAGAGTGTAGGCTTTGGAGTGAGAAATCTGTCATTCTTTTCCTAACTTATATGCTGTGTGACTGTGGTCAGTGACCAAACTCCATAAGCCTCAGTTGTCTCATCTGTAAAATGGGGTAATAATAGACTAAACTCAAAGATTCCTAAGAGTATTAGTAGAATGCCTGTAAAGCCCTCAGCAGTTTTCAATACATATCAGCCATGGTTAATTCCAAGCTGAAGTAATATGATTGACGTTTAGCAAGTGGTTGGGCAAACCACCTTTATAGTCAAATGTGATAGTAGGGAATGGAAGCATTAGAAGGGAGAAGGAAAACTCCAAGTTCAAATAAGGCAAATAAATTCACATAAACGCGTACTTATATTTTCAAGGAAAAGGATAGTATTAAATTTTGGTTGCCTTTGTCGGCAAGTTACTTCACGGACAAGTTTAACAGTTGAATATAAAAGCCATTCATTAGCTAATTACCAATTAGCCAATTGCCCTCCATTTCAAGTCAGTAAGTGGCCAATTGTATATGCAATTAGTTAATTGCTATTATAATTAGCTGCACAAACAGTTGCTTTTTAATCCCATACTGAAGAGAAAGAGTACAGGTTGGTCTTGTTAAAATTTAAACAAGATCATTTAGACAGTACTCAAAATGCCACTCTTAAATTGTATTAACTTGGCTGATATACTGAGACTTTGTCATATTGCTTAACTGTATGATTATTAGAGCGTTAGGAACAGAAGTTCATTAAGGTTCTTTTGACTCTGAGATCCTAAGATGACTTGGGATAAATTTGTCTTTATGAAATAACAATACATCATTTTTATCAAAAGTTTCAGAGCATCTGTACCAACAGAATTCTATTTCAAAATAAAATAAGTAACAGTAGTTAGCAGGGACACAAATTCTGGGCTCAGGGGTGCATTTGCAATTTCTCCGGGCTTCTCAGGATTCTCTTGCATATAAAGATGTGATTTCAGAGTCCTGGTGTCATACCTCAGTCACCAGGAATTTCTCTTATCCAAACTACACTTTGAACCCTGAACCCAGACTGAGCCTAAAACCACCACATAGCTCACCCCTTTGGGTTAAAGGCACAGAAAGACTGTCAGAGATAAAGGTTGGTTGAAGTTGGGGTAGGAGAATATAGTATCGAAGGAGAGGTCTCGGCTATGGAGATTCAAACCCAGTTTTGCCTACTTGAGAATCTTGTCCAGGGCTGACAATTAGAAATCACGAATTCATAAAAAGATGGTAGGGGCCAAAATAGCCAAGTTCGGGAAGTCCTTTCTGATGCTTTGCTTTGAGGTGGTTAGCTTAGCCTAGCAGTCAGCATCTAAAATGACAAGGCTAACCCTTTGCCAATAACAAGGATTACATCTTCACCAGCCACGCTGGTGAGTAAGACCCTAGACAGTTAATTTTTGTTGTTACTTCTCTGTGATTGAGAGGAAAGGAATCACCAATAAGCACTTTTGGAAAATGTCTTTGGTTTAGATAAAATCACTGAGATGCAGTCCAACTTCATTCGTGAGCCTGATTCTTTTACAGTGAGCCGTATAAGATATGATGAAAATATATCACTTTCAGTCTGCTTCTGTCAACCAGTAGTCCTTATTAGCGCGATGACACTCATTCATATTGGTTTCAATCGTAGAATCGGAATGTGGTAGAAAAGGTTGCTGCGCCTCCTTTTGAAAACTTTTTTGCCTGTTATTTCTGTAGATTAAATGTCTCTTGTAAAACAACTTTATAGATATTATAGCCATGAGCCTGAGTGACTGAGAAATGAGAAGGGGGTGGGGGGAACACCCTTTTCAGAGAACGAAGTTGGGGAAGGAGTGTAGTGCATTAGGGAAAGCATTAGGTGTCCAGAGGTATAGAGGCTCCGTCGTGGAAATTTCCCTCCGTGCTGTGTGTCTGCCTCATGAAGGGAAATAAAGCTGTAGGGACAGGAGTCTCCAAAACTGTAGATTCTGCAGAGCCCCATGCAGATCTCAGCAGGAATCCATAAGTAGAGTAAAAGTGTTTTATAAAGTGCTCCCAGGGTTTCCCTACAATGCAAGTATATGTGATTCTCAGCCTTCTCTGCCTGTTGCACAGACAGGGTGTATTTAGCACTCAGCGCTCCTCAGGGCACCTGGAAAAGCCTGTCTGAGGCCGAGCTCCAGGGAACAAGTAGGCCTATCTGGGGTTTGCCGGTCCAGCGAGGCCTTTGCATTAAGAACTCTGAAATGGTGAAAATGGGGTTTCATCTGCTTTCTGGGATCCACAGTGCTCTTTCAATCGGAGGCGCAGTGGTGGTGATATCCCAAAGATGTGTCCTAGGGACATGATTTTAACACCAGGAGAATGAAAGGCGCTCCCAGCCTGCCCAGAAGGAGTTCTCTGCAGATGGTACGAAAGACCCATCGATATGGTGACGATAACCGTCATCTCTGTTGTCACCTGTAGCCCTGCAGTGGCATTTTACTCCTTTAAAATGCACCTTAAATGAGACAGGCTTAACATCTGAAGGAGACCAAAAAAAAAAAAAAAAAAAAAAAGTGTTTCCCCTGCCATGATTCAGCCAAATGCCTATCAGGGGAAAAAATCTATTTGACTCTCTCTCCCAAGTCGTTTCTATGGCCTGCCAAAATATGACAGAAGATAGTTCTGCAGTGTTTTTTCTTTTCACAAGCGTGATTTCACTGTTTACTTCGTTCTCAGAAAAGAAGTGCAATATGCTCGCTAAAGCGGTCGACGCTCGGTGCTTTGTATTTCAACACCAGCTTGGGTTTCTTCTCTCACCCACTGTGTTCCTTCTCTTTCCCCGTCACCCCCTCCGTCTCCTGGCCCGGCAGGTTTCACCAGCGACACAACAGATGCAGCCAACCCAGACAATACAGCCGCCCCAGCCCACAGGGGGGCGCCGGCGAAGGGTGGTGGATGAGGATCCTGACGAGAGGCGGAGGAAATTTCTGGAACGGAACCGGGCCGCTGCCACCCGCTGCAGACAGAAGAGGAAGGTCTGGGTGATGTCACTGGAAAAGAAAGCAGAAGAACTCACCCAGACAAACATGCAGCTTCAGGTGCAGGCCACTGTCTCTTTCCTCAGGACTCAAAGGCCCTGTGTACAGTTGGCATTTCCTGTCCCGTCAGGCACTTGTTGACCTAAGCAGTAATACCGCACCTTAGCTCGCAGAGAAGACTGCAGGCTTCCTCCTCGAGCTTTCTTAATTCTGAGACACGTTACAAAACAAAGTAACCATTTAGTTGGGTTTTCTGCAGTGATGTTTCTTAAAATTTTTTTTAAAACTTTATTTTTTAGAGAGACAGAGCACAAGCAGAGGAGGGGCAGACAGAAGGGGAGAGAGAATCCTAAGCAGGCTGTGTGTCATCAGCGCAGAACCTGATGCGGGGCTTGAACTCACAAACCCCGAGATCATGACCTGAGCTGAAATCAAGAGTCAGATATTTAACCGACTGAGCCACCCAGGCGCCCCAATAACCATTCAGTTTTAAATCAAGCTCTGAGGAGAGAGAACCTACCCAACTGAGTCACAGAGCTACGAGCACAGGCTTTGGTCAGACGGAGGGTCACACTCTTGTTCAGCAAGTAGCTGTGTTTAACCTCTCTGGCCCTGAGTTTCCTCATCTATAAAATGGGAAGAATCACCACATGGAGTCAATGAGAGTAATAAGTGAGCTAATGTCTTCAATGCAGTTTTCCTCATGCCTAGCACATAATAACTCATCAACTATAAGTCAGTTCTTTATATTCACCAGTGAGGGAGTTGCTTTGAGTGACACTAGATTATCTATGATTTTGTTTGGTGGAGGAAAGGAATGCTTATGGATGTTATTTTGCTTTACAGAAAAAGGCATGTTCCCAGCTCATTTTCAAACTCGACACGATTTGAATCTTACAGGACTTTTGCTTTTCTTTTTTAAATGTTTTTTTGTTTAATGTTTTATTTACTTCTGAGAGAGAGACAGCATGAGCAGGGGAGGGTCAGAGAGAGAGGGAGACACAGAATCTGAAACAGGCTCCAGGCTCTGAGCTAGCTGTCAGCACAGAGCCCAACGCGGGGCTCGAACCCACAAACCATGAGATCATCACCTGAGCCCAAGTCATGAGTCAGCTTAACCGACTGAGCCTCCCAGGCGCCCCGGACTTTTGCTTTTCATGGGTGGCTCAACTGGGGACATTTTCTAACAAGCCCACTTCCGGGAGTGTTTGAGAGAAGGGGAGGAAACTCTGGTGGCCAGGGCGTCTTCAGCAGACTTCCTGCGGTGCAAATGATGCATTCAGGGTATCTGTGTCCACACAAAAAGGAATGCCCTGTCCACCAAAGGCAAGAGAGAGCAGCCTAGGAGATTAGGTGACAAACAAATGACAGGACAGCAGGGAGACTTGTGGATTGCAGCCCGGTGCTTTTAGGAGCACAAAGAGTGGCTGAAGAGTAGAGGGAAGGAGGAAAAGATTGCTTCAAATGGGGAGGGCCTGTACCTTAACAGTTATAGGTAACTTTCACCTTCTCCCACCTGGTTCTCTGTGCATCCTTAGAAACCAACAATAAGGCTGCCAAACCTCCAAAGCTTTTGCATATTCAAGGCATTAAATGCAAATGACCTTGGGGCATCCAATGTATAAATTGAAAATGTTATCAAGACAGTTTGGGTTATGCGTGGACTGCATATGTATGCTCACCTTTTCCTCTAAATTTATCATCCTTTTTGTGATAGACATGAGAAGGAAAATGGGAAACGTATACATCAGATACGGGGGAAACACAGTCATAATTCTCCCCAGTGGCTTTATAGCTGCACGTGCATGAGGTGGGGGGCCTGGTGTCTTACCTTATTACCCCTCCCCCTACTTCTACCCCCCCCATTTCTAGTACAGTGGCAAGCTAACATGGTGAGCTCCTGCGTGTCCGCTCTCAATATCTGCTTGTTGAATAAATGAACGAGTTCCCCATCTCTGGAGTGTCCAAGAACTGGCAGCCTGACCACCTGGCAAGGATGTGATTGAAGGGAGTCAAACCACAGTGGGATGGCTGGACTCTTAACACCTCACAAGTGACACCAACTTGAAAGTCCGTAGTTCTATAATCCAACAGCCACAGTGGTATGTTTCGAAAAGCTTTTAGGTAGAAGATGGATAAGCACTTTTAACATCCATAGTAATCATGTTTTTGTTTTTATGTGTAGTGAAAAAATGTAATTAGAACATCAAACCTTCAATTGCACAGATACTCTTAGTAAGGATGAGGCTAAATTATTAAATAAGGAGTTAATTTGTACAAACATGTTGAGTAAATAAAAATTCTGGTGCATGCGGACCTGGCAAATATTACAGCTCTGCAATGACTGAGGTGTGGGAATCCATGGAATTTGCTACCGGTTCTGAGGTTTGCAAGAGGACCGTGAAGTCGGGCATGAGTCCTCAGTCTCGGCACTGTTGGATTCAGGACTTGGTCGTTCTTTGTTGTACCCTATTCCTAGTAGATATTTAGCAATACCCTTGACCTCTACCCACTAAATATGAGCAACATCCCCTACCTCACCCCCAAGGTATGACAACCAAAAAGTCTCCACGCGTTGTCAAATATCCCGTGGGGGCAAAATCACCCAAGGTTTGAGAACCACCACCTTAGATGAAGGAGCCATGAACAGCCAGCTGGCACATAATGATGCCAACAAATGTTTAAATCAGTTTTAACCAAAAAGAGCCCTTGCAGAATTACTTTGGCATGCTGGTTGGGGTGCTGGAGCTTGAAACAGAGAGAGAGATCATAGCAGAGATCCAAGAAAAGTGAAGATGCTGCTTTAGCTTTGCAGTCAGATATGTTCATCACTTGGCATATGCCTATATATTACTACTGCTTTTACAAAGCATGTAAGGTAAAATTTACCCTCTACGAGACCCTAATCCATTACATGTACAACCATACATGGCTAAAGACAAAAAGATCCTAGCATTCTAGCCTCCAAAAACCAGGAAAAAAGTTTGGTTTGGGCTCATCAACTGGCACCAATATTTCTGGTTGTTGAATCAGCGCCCAAGGAAGGGACAGTCTCTGAAAAAAAACTAAATTATCGGTGTTTTCCAACCACTGTTTTGCTTCCAAGGGAGGGAAACCACAGCCATGCCGTGTTTTCTGTCATGCAGAGCAGTTAGTATCACGCCTTGTGATGCTGGAGAGGATATGCAGATTCTGCTACCTTTGAATGACCCTTTCCGTCTTACTGGACCTTTGTCAAGAGAAAAAGGTGTCTCTCTTGAGGCTGGTCCAGTGAGCCAAATTTTAAGTAAACAGAAATGGAAGGTGCTAAGCAAACAAACTCCAGCCAAACGGAATATCCAAGGTCTTGGATGGCCGGCTGCCACTTTTGAGTTGTTTTCCAGCATAGAACCTTCTAGCTGGGCTGCAGAGTTTCAGATTGGAAAAAATCAGACGTACAAAAACAAAATCAAACTCCCAGACTTCATTTCCTTGTCTCACAACAAATTTGTACCCAAGAGGTCAACACAGGTTTAGGAATGGAGGGAAATAGTAGAAACTACCCGAGCTGACATTTTAGAGAGAAAGAAACAGGAGGAATCTTCCCATAAGTCACAGTCAGCAAATGGTACGATGAGGACCCAAACAAGTCTTCCCTTGACGTAACCCACTGCTCTGGGAGCTTTTATGGTAGAAAATTCTGAAATGAAAGGAATCCCCATTCTTTTCTCCAACAGAGTGGCTTAGATCAGGTCTGAATTCATCAACTACTGAAGTGGTGTTCAGTGGATAGTTTATGTGCAGTAGATAATATAGAAATCATCTGGTCACCCATGGAAATAATTGTTTTCTTTTTTTGGTGCAAAGACACATGGCCTCAGTCGCTGCTGAAATTTTAGACACATGAGCCCAGGTTTGGGACTTGGCAAGAGAATGGGCCAGATGGGAACTGTTGCCTTACAAATCGAAAGTTCTTTGTTTTAGAATGAAACAAACCTGGTCTCAACCCTAATCTACCCCCAAAAAAAAAAAAAAAAAAAAAGGAAGTGGGGAGAGGCTACACTGTAGGGCCTATTTTGATCATTGATCATTATTTTTTTTGGCACAGACTACCGCTTGCACCAGAAAGCATTCTGGGTTTATCACATTAACAAAATGACATCCTCAAAGCCCAAAATGGCAAATGTAGCTATTAGGGGCTACTTGGAGTCCCTAGCCTCTTCCAGTCCCTATCTAAACGTCTCACTGCTTTAGAGTAGTAGCAAACCCAAACTCAGTTCAAATGAAGGAATGATTTCAGCAGGAGAATCGATACTGATTAGTAATGCTTTGCTTTAGCAAAGTACTTTTATAAGAAGACCTAGAACGATTTTTATAACCCACACAGGGGAGTAAAAAAAAATTGGTGATTTGCCTCAATTCACAAAACAAGGTAATTCAGAGTAAGAAAATGCCTCTGGAAGGCCTGGTTTTTATTTCCTTACTAGAGCTGCAGGCGACATTTTATTTCCTTCATGCGTTTTGAATCATTTGCTCTCTGGTGGTTCTCTTCCAAAACGAATTCAAGGGGATTCTACTTATGTTCCCTTGAAAAAGACTTTTATTTAAAATATAGTCTAGCATTCCTTCTATCAGTCTACATGGAGACTATAAGATGATTGTGTGTGAGCACAGCACACGGTCCACTCTGCTTTCTCGAGGGCAGTGATTTTCAACCTTTCTTAATCCAGAGGCTTCCTATGGAGTCTGATGAAGGCTCTGCAGATTCTCTCAACAATAGAGACACAGACGGGGACATGAAGTTTTGCACTAAAACTGTAGATATAGCTTTGGAATCTGCCCTGATAAGATTTGGAAACATAGAAGGTGCTAGAACTGTCTCCCCCGGGGAATATGAGACTTGAAATATAAACGTCTTTGGGAATACCAAATACCAATACCAATACCGAAGTAATTAACTAATGAATAAAAAATATCAGGATCGAGTCCTTCATTAGATTATTAGGTAATTAGCTTTCTCAATAGAAGGGAAAGCAGAAACATTCAAAGAATAAACAAGCATTTTGCTGGAGGAAACTAGAGAACTAATCCACCCATCTTGTTTTGCCATACATTGGTGTGGCAATTTGGGAGGCCAAACCCTATCATTCTGAAATCCGTGTTGAGAGTTCTTTTTCATGCTGGAGGCTGGTCCACGAATTTCTAGTGCTTCCGTGGCCACTAGACTTTGATTTTGCCGTTATCAGCATCATAATTGTATGTGTCTGATCTAAACAAGAGGCTGACTGTTCTTCTTTACGGAGAATATTAATTGGCATTCGTTTTCCAACCATAACATATCTAAATAACAATTACTAACACATTAAGAAATACATGATCATTCACATATATCTTTAAAGGATGATCAGTTATCATGGCAGTCTTCAGGTTCCTACATTTTTACAGACCCTCCACCTCCCAGGGTCTCAGTTTCTATATGTAAGATGCATTAGTCTACTGATGAAGTGCTTTGCTATTCATAGACAAAGAGTGCCACTCAAGTTATCTAGTTTGTATCAAGCTTTGGTTACAGGCTAAGACACCACATACACTGTTCATAGTGGTGATTGGTGCTATTTTATTGTGGCCTCTCATGGAAGCAAAAGGTTTATTGTGAAACGATTTGGGGCGTGCCAAGTATTGTAGGCAATTAGCTCCTTGTGATTGTAGAAACCCAAAGAACGGAATTCAAAGTGTTTTTTTAAGGAAGGGGTAATGAACACTTTGTGCCTGGGAGAGCGAACCCTGCCTAGAAAAGGTGGGACTGAGCAGGACATAGCTGGGGAAGAAGCAGAGGCTAAAGTCAACCTCTCCAAGATGGCCACCAGATGGTTTTTTTTTTTTCTTCTAGAAGTCTAAGAAAGCAAGAGAATCTTGCTTCATTTTGTTTTAAATACTTTACTTATTTGTTGTTTCCTCAGTCACAGAAGAAAAGTGTGGCAGGATTTACTACCAGTTGGAGCTTGACTCCATTTTCTAAGAACGATTGTCTGCATTAACTGTAGCTGAGAGCTTCTCCTTAGGGTTCAAGTGTCTTAGCAGTTGTGATTCTAGAAAAGTGCTATGTCTATAATCCAAAGGCAAATAATATGACATTTCATTTTGAGACCAAACACACACACACACACACACACACACACACACCTTAGTTTTATTTTTCTTCTTTTTTCATTTTGGTTTGTTTGTTTGTTTTTTAACCAGGGGTTGCCTTCTATTTATCGTCTAAAGGTAACTTTCTCTTACACATGTTATTTTAAGCAAGGGGAATCTGGAAAAAGCAAGGAAGGCTGTCTGAATTTAAGTGGGCATAAAATAGGAAAGAATTACTACTTAAGGCTAAAATAAAGTGTCCTATAAATAAAGTTATCCCACAGACTCCAGAATTGACAAGGGTCACTTTTCACAAGGGTCACAGAATTTTCAAGGGCTTTGACTGGGCCCCTTACCAATCACATTTCTTCTGAGGTGGGAGATGCAATTTACCCTCCTGAATGTTTTCAGATTTAAGAGCAATTTTCCAGAGCAATTAAGTGATTTATTCACCATTAATGCTAACTTCTCAGGCTTTTTTATTTTGTAAAATTGGGAGAAGAAAGAGAAAAGCTTTTGTAGTTGAGATTCTTACTATTTTGTTACTTACGTTACTCAACATTTGATTACTTATAATGTATTTTGCAAATGAATTTGGAAATGGGAGGTATTCTTTAAATCACGGTTCAAAAAAACTTCTTTAAATTAACTTCTAGACTCCCAAACTTACTTTTTTAGGTGATAAATACATGCCTGAAAAGCCAAGTTCATATTGAAAGTGTAGATACAACCTAATGACAGCAATGTTAGAACACCCTTTTCTGTGCACTTTTTTTTTTTTTTTTTTTGGTCTCCCACATGTGGAGTACAATGCCTGGCAGCCACAAATGAACATTAGCCAGGGAGAGTGTATTATTTATCACAACTATAAAATGGCTTATTTGAGATAGTGCTATGTTTACAATTTAACTATTATCAAGTGGAAGCACCTTAGAATCAACCATCTATTCTGCATCTACGTTTGTAGACAGTGGTGCCAAGCATATTATTCTACAAAGCTATGAATCTGTCTATGTGAATTACTACACCAAGTGGAGACTTGAGGCACTGATCTAAGTGAAAAGAAACACGCGTGGGTGCACACACGCAATCTGTAACACCCTGATATTAATGGCAGAAAGAGTTTATAGACTGAAATTAGACAAACTAGTTAATGAACCAATCACGTTAATTTAATCATGCCCCAAACTTCATTGCCCCTTGCCTTCCTGGGCTGACTTCACCCCACCAGTAGAGTATCAACAATTTGTTCCAAGAGCTTCCATGCCTTCTGCTAAGCATGGATTGTGCTCTGCTGTTCCACAGCCCGTTCAGAAATTCTTTTGGGAAATCTGATGGTAGATGAGTTGACTTATTCTGAGGACACTTCAATGTGAAGCCACTAATTCTGCTACTCAGTTCTTCCTAATGCATGTATCACACTCACTCTCTCCTCATACTGAGTGTCAACCTGAGCTTACTGGACAGTATGAAGATGATTATTATGAACACCAAGATTCGCTAAATTCAATGATCGCTAAGTGTGTGCTGGGCAATATTCGGAGTGTTTTACATCTATTACCTCATTTAATCCTCACAACAACTCAAAGAAGTTTATACTGTTTTTATCCCCAACTATGGAGGGGTTGCTGAAGCTCAGCTGACTTATGTTTCCTGCCTAGGGTCACCCAGGTGGGAATGGAGATTCCCACCCACGTAGCCTGGCTCCAGAGTTGGTCACCTAAAGGGGATGCTCTGGCCTTTGAATAGGATTCAGCTCTTGAGTTAAAAGTCCGGTCTTTTCAGAAAGTCCCCAATAAACATGAGGGCCACATTAAAGGCAAGGTACACATTTTCAGGTGAATCCCATTAGATATCATCCTCCGTGTCATTCAGACATAACAGAAAAGTTTGCCAATATCGCTGTTGAAAATGCGTGGAGACTTGTATTCTCTGGTCTTTCCAACGCGACTTTGATGTGTCTCTCTCCAGAATGAAGTGTCCATGTTGAAAAATGAGGTGGCCCAGCTGAAGCAGTTGTTGTTAACACATAAAGACTGTCCGATAACAGCCATGCAGAAAGAATCACAAGGGTATCTAAGTAAGTCATTGACTTTTTTTTTCTTTTCTCAGTGTCCAATTTATTTTTTTGCCACTAATTTTTGCACTGGATTTTATTGAAAGAGCAAAAGTAAAATGTAATTTGCACACCCCGGCAGAAATCCTACTAGAATTCTACAGTGGCTGCCAGACTGTTGCACCAGGGGCATCCCTCTTTTCTGACCCCTACCCATCACCATGCCCACCTCCTCCCAATAATTTCTGGTTGGACTTTATCCTGGCATTTCACATTGTAAAATCGTACTGAATTCCAGTTCTGCAGCCAGTAGAAAAATCACTTGCTGGAGTCCACCTACCCATGGGCTAGCAGTGTTCCAGAGAAATCCAGGGACTGGGGTACAGGCATTGGGTGGATCATATCCAAGTCCTTAAGGTATATAAGCTGCTGGGCTGAAAAGTGAATGGCCTTGTCTCAGTTTTCCAATAAGTAGAGTGGACCCCTTTCTCTAGACCCCAGTTTCTGCATCTGGAATGTCAAGAAGTTTAATGCCAGTTGAGTGGGGGGTGGCGGGAGGAGCAAGGATTCATGGCTGAAGGTCAATTTATTTTCAAATAATTTTTTAGATTGAGCAACACAGATTCTCCCACCACATGTGAGTATTTTTCCACATTTGATGTATGGATGGCTATTTGAAAGTACAAAAATGGGGACGTTCACACACCAAGGCTCGAACCTGTGAGATCATTTTGCTGGTATAGAAAGCATGGCTTTGCTTGTAGCGCTAAAGTGGGAAGGCATAGCTGGTGACTACAGTTGAAAGTAAACTTTTGAAATTAACGGCCAGGAGAAAATGTGTGGAACTCTTCCATTTCTGGTAAACATCTAGCAGTGTTTTCCCGAGTTAGGCCACAGGGGCACCCGAGAAGAGATATATTGGTGTGTGCGTGTGTGTGCTTTTTCCTAGGTCCGGAGAGCAGTCCTCCCGCCAGCCCTGTCCCAGCTTGCTCTCAGCAGCAGGTCATCCAGCATAACACCATCACCACTTCCTCAGCAGTGAGCGAGGTGGTGGGAAGCTCCACCCTCAGTCAGCTCACCACTCACAGAACAGACCTGAATCCCATCCTTTAAAATCCACCGCTTGGTCAGACCTTGCCTCCAAGAAGAGCTGTCGCATATCATGCGTCCTTTCTTTTAAGGGCATTTTTAGAATTAAATCAGACCTGGAAGACTCCTCAGCCCTTCAGAGACTGGCTTTCATTTTTATAGTTATTATGGAAATGTTGTCTTTTATACTTAGTTCTATAAGAAAAAAAGGGAGTTATGCAATTAATTAACCTATCAGCTTGGGAAATGCTTTGGTGCTTTTCTCCAATTTTCTGGTACCAGTTCACTTGTTTATAAACTGAACTCTTTCTGTATATAGATATGGTTTCGTTCTTACCGGTCCAACCCTTTGCCTGAGACATTGAATCTTGTTAAACCGCAGCTTTTAGCCAAAATGAGGCATACCAGAGGTCACGTAAACGGATGCAAGGTAACTGGGTGGTGAGTCTGATGACGTTGTAACATATGTTGAGTTTGTGCTGTGATGTCACCAGAATTCCAGATAAATACAGAGCCTTTTCCATATTTGTTTTCCTCTTACTATATATATATATATATATATATATATATATATATATATGTTTGTTTGTTTTTTTAAAGATGAGATCCGTTGATGTCCAAATAAAACCACCAAACATCTCGTCACCTCCCCTCCTCCTCTAGGTCCCCCTCCTTGAAATACCCTCCAGTTTTCTCCATTCTTCCTCTCCATTTCCACCTTTTCCGGGGCCCCCTGTATACTCTTCAGTTTTACTTTCTTCTGTTTTATTTTTCCGCCTTTAGCATTGCAGGTAAAGAAGAAAATAATGCTTAAAGGGAAAAAAAAAAAACAAGTAAATCTCAGAAATACGGATCTAGCCATTGCTTCTCTTGCCTGTGACCCACAGCTGGAGTTCATTCATCTCTTGCTTTTTATAAAACGGGAAGCAGGAGATGTACATTTTAATGTGCCTGATTTAATGTTTTTAATAATCAGAGCAAATAAAAGGTGGCTTAGCCATAGGTGAAACACTGTTGAATGCCAGCTGTGGAGACACCAGGGAAGGGAGCCTGTAAGCCTTGATTGTGAAGGTCCACATTGTGATGTGGGCTATAACATCACACCCTCGAATTACAACTGGTTTTATATGGCCTGTCTATGAGGCTGAAAATCCATATACTATATAATAATTCAGAAGGGCTCTATTCACTACACAGATTACATGGGTCAATCATCAGCTGCTAATAGACTAAGATTTATTAATTTTTTTTTTCTTAAGCCTATGGAACTGGCTTTGCAATTCTGGTGGGTGAAAGTAGATGTTCTACTGGAGGAACAAAGAGAGAAAGAAAACCTGATGTTTCCCTAGGGGTGCTTTCAGCACCCCCTCCTCCCGGACAGCCAAAGCCTTTTTTGGCTGCTGCAAGAATCCGGTGGATATGGCTACTTTAGTCTTCTGAATAATTCTGATCTATATTTTCAACAACTTTCATCAGCTTGCCCATTATAAAAAGCAGATCGTCCCAAACCATGGTTGCGCCTCCTTGAAACAAGCCATTCTACTGTGCTAATGTGTTAATATCACATCTCACAAGTAACAGGCTAATGTTTCTCTCTAGCAGTCTAGAAAGGTGCTGGTGTTTCATCTCCATTTGAATGCTTGACGTCCTAACGTGAGTGTGTGTGGGTGTGCGCGCGCACATGTGCGCGCACATGCCTGTGTGTGTTCATGGGATTTAAAATAATAGTATTTTATAAAAGGTGTAGCTTTTATGAGTTCAAAAAAGGGAAAGATATGTGTTTGGGTGTGTGTATATGTGTTTATCTCTCCCTGTAGCGTAAGAATCTATTTTGGAGAAAAAAGAAAATATGAGGGCTGTGAAGCATGATTTTTATAATTAGTTTCAGTTGTATCTAAAAACTTAGTTTTTGAATCAGGATTTATCAACTTTTGTTTTTTTTCATGTATGCAGTGCTTTCAAAAGAAAGTTTTGAGAGTCTGGCAAAACTCATGACTGGATATATGGCCTAAAAATCAAAACAAAAGCAAAACAAAAAACACACATACAAAAAAAAAACAAAAAATTTTTTTAAAAATTTAAAAAGAAAGAAAAGAGAAAAAAAGAAATACAAATTAAAAGGATTTTCTATTATATTTTAGACAAACATATCTTTTTTTAAGTATTTTAAATACTGAATTCATAGTTTTGTTTTGATTCCCTGCAGTAACAGCGGAATGGCTGAACCTGTTTTCCTAAGAAATATTTAAGATATATCTCTATTCCGAAATTAAATTTTTTCGAAACTCCTTTCTAGGACCATCTATGTGTCTCTCTAAAAAAAAAAGAAAGAAAGAAAGAGAGAAAGAGAGGAAAGAAAGAAAGAAAGAAAGAAAGAAAGAAAGAAAGAAAGAAAGAAAGAAAGAGAAAAGGGAAAAAAGCTCATTGAAATGTTTGCTTGGATTTAAAAAAATGTTTTTGTTTTATTTTTATTTTATTTCTTGCTTTAAGTAAACAATATTTTTTTTTTTCTTTACTGCATGCATAGCACTTAATGAAGTGGATTTTTTAAAAATCCGCTGGTAATATCAGAATGTCCAGGGAGTGGGCTGTCACTAAAATTATGGTTTACTTTACTTCTGTTCCACCTCTTGATTGAATATTTAGTTGTTAAACTGAAAGCCTCTGTAGTGAAGAACTTGCCTGAGTTTTCTTAATTCAGCAACTTGACAGTTTGACTGATGTGCATTATATAGAGCTCAATTATGTCTGTTTTTTATGCTAAGCAGGCAAACCAACCACACACACGTTAGCAAACGGGCCTCAACGTATAATTAGAATAAACTGTCTTCTTGTTATACCCAGGGCCTTTAGGTATGTTCATTAGCAGTGTGGAAATACAGTAAATGGAAGATGCCAGCTAGTTGTCAAGGCTTCTTGAAACCCTGAACAGAAAGGCTCGTTGGTCAAATCCAACAACGCTCAGCTTATCAATATAAGTACTTCACCAGAAGGTTCAGCCTTCACCAGACCATAGAATAAATCAGTCTGCCTGAAAAATCTCTCCTTGTCCTACATTTTTTGCCAATGTGGGAAAACATCTGTTTGCTGCCCCATCCTCCTCTCCCACTCGATCACCAGATCATCCACCCATATCTCCGCACATCCATTGCAATGACCTTCAGAGCACCCAGGCTGAGCAGGGAAGGGTCCTGTAACACTGCCTCTCCTCATTCATGTGTGGTTTTTTGTTTTGTTTTTTGTTGGCAGCATCTGCGCTTGAAGTCACTGCCAGCCTACCTGGAAATTTCTATGGCGCTTCCCCTGCCTTATGTAATGGGACATGACAACTTAGATAGGGGCTAGAAATGCCACCAGGTGACCCTAAATCGAGGCATCCACATCTTAAGTGTTCCTTCTGAAGACATTTCCCAACATACGATGCCAGGGCAGGCATAGGGAAACCCTTGCCATGGATGAACATACTCATTTTAATACCTTTAATACCACCTTTAATACGCCCACTCATCTCTCTCCTCCCTCCATGTTAGTGTGTGGGAGTCCCCGTATTTAACGCGGCCTGTGGGAGACCAGTTTGTGTGGCATCCCGCATGAACTGTTCCAATCAGGGTGACTTACTCAGAGCAAATGCCCATTGGAGCCTATCCCGTCAAAGGAATCAAATGCAGCACATGTTCTCAATAGAGGGGCATCAACAGTGAATGTGCAGGTGGTTTTTGTTGCCCGTTAAGTAAACTTTAGTGCGTTAGTTGAGTTTGCCATTAAAATCTGAAACCAGCTGCGGTGAAAGACCAGCCTTTGGCTGGCGAGTTTTAAGCATCAGTAACTGCTCTCAAACTAGCCATCCAGTTAGGATAGAATGTGCTTCTTTCTGGTTAATAAAAACCATCTAAGAAAATATATATGTATGTATGCGTGTATACAGTGGAATTCAAGGACCAAAGCAAAATTTGAACAGGAATCTATTAATTTAGAATTTTATAAGATATTTATTAATAAATGTTATTTTAAAACATTCCATTTGAACAGTATTCTTCCGTAGGATCTACTTGTTTTTAAAGTGTTAGTTCATAATAAACTACTCTAATTATGTATATCTTCATTTTTCAGGGTTTCAATGGCTACTCTCCATCATTTGGTGGAAATGTTTCGCTTAGATCTCTGTGCATAGAAATTTCAAGGATTTTTATTGCTCTGTGAGTTATTTTTTTAGTCTATGTTCTGAACAGTTTTTTAAACATTTATTGCTTTTTTTTTCTTAATTTTTAAAGTAAGCTCTTTCCTGTAGGAAGCAGAGTTCAGCTAAAGGGAATCAGTAACAGTAACTGGAATAACTTTCTTATATAAGCGTAAAAACAACTTCATCTCTGCTTCTCTCAGCCCCACCCCAATTTCCTAGAATGCCTTGCACTATTCAGCTTCCTTTGTGCTCTTTTTGTCCTTTCCCAAACAATGTGCCCTAGCTTTAAGCCATTCAAGTTCCATTATGCAGTATATCTGAGAAGGAAAAGGAAACAACCCATTTAAATTTGAATAAAACTGTGCCTATGCGAGCAGTAGCAATTTAGAGTCTCTCTTCTGCTTTTAAGATAATTTATATTTTAAAATTGCACTTTAGCTTTTTCTGATCCCTGTTTCTCGTGTTCTCAGACCCCCTCCGAGTCCTCAAACTTGCCTCTGCTCCCCACTTTCCAGCACCCCCCCTCCCCCTCCTCCTAAGGCTCTGAGCTGCACCCTTTAAAATACTTTACAGAATATTTGCACCAGGTACATTTGCGTAGTATCCTAGCAAAGACCCGTTCCTCATGTCAGCCTAGGGGAAGCCTGCTACAGGAAAACCAAGGAGAAGAGCCAGTTTATATTCTTTAACCCTTTATTCATAGCATGTTTTAAAAAAAATGTTATATTATGCAACAGATGTGAGGCAGCAGCTAAGCTACACTTAAGAATTTTCTATCTCATCCTCCAAACCAAAGTGTCCTGAATGAGCCAGGAGACTTACTCTTTTGTGCATCGTGGTGCCCGTGGACTGTTGTCCCAGCGATTGTCTCCCTGAGGCTGCTGAAATAATAGTGGCCCTGTCTGTGTCATTCCTAGATTTCAAAAATACAATGTTGCCTTGTGACGTAATTAGGGACAGCACCTCTATTTTACAATGATAATCTCAGAAAGGACAAGAAGACACTGAAGCAATAAACGTACAAGTAAAATTCAATACCAAAACAAAGAAGTAAAAAAAAAAAAAAAAAAAAAAAACACAGAAAACCCTAGCTCATCGTGTTGTGAAAACGAAAAAGTGTACGTCCACTCAAAATATTTTACTATTTCTTGTGGAGTTTTTCAGTGATGTAATGCTTATAGCCAAATTGCTTAAAGAGTGTTTATATATTTTTTTCCTTATAAATTGTCTATTTTTTAAAAAAAGAAAACTATTTACCACAAGTTGGGGGGGGGGTTAAGGCCAAATTGCCAGCATTTGTTAAAAGATTGATATTCTTAAGTGGCAGACTCTGATACCTTTCCAA